GTGTAAAAATTACATGGAAAATTTCTATGTATTTAAATTACATTAAGTCAACTTTTTGGCCAATCTTTTTTGTCAGTGTACAAAAAAAAAAAAAAACGGTGAAAAACGGAAACCGATTCTGTTCATTACCTTTATGGACAGAATTTCTAGGTGCAGCCAAGGTGTGGAGGGCATCCGTTTTGGTGGCCTGAGGATCAGGTCTCTGCTTTTTGCAGATGATGTGGTCCTCTTGGCTTCATCAGAACGTGATCTTCAGCTTTCGCTGGAGCGGTTCGCAGCCGAGCGTGAAGCAGCTGGGATGAGAATCAGCTCCTCTAAATCTGAGACCATGGTCTTGATTCAGAAAAGGGTAGAATGCCTTCTCCGGGTCAGGGATGAGGTCCTGCCCCAAGTGGAGGAGTTTAAGTATCTCGGGGTCTTGTTCACGAGTGAGGGAAAACTGGAGCGTGAGATCGATAGGCGGATTGGTGCTGCATCTGCAGTGATGCGGGCGTTGTACCGGTCTGTCGTGGTGAAGAGAGAGTTGAGTCAGAAGGCGAGGCTCTCGATTTACCGGTCGATCTACGTACCTACCCTCACCTATGGTCAGGAGCTTTGGGTAAAGACCAGAAGAACGAGATTGCGGATACAAGCGGCCGAAATGAGTTTTCTCCGAAGAGTGGCTGGGCTCTCTCTTAGAGATAAGGTGAGAAGCTCGGTCATTCGGGAGGGGCTCGGAGTAAACCCGCTGCTCCTCCACATCGAGAGGAGCCAGTTGAGGTGGCTTGGGCATCTGGTCAGGATGCCTCCTGGACGTGAGGTTTTCCGGGCACGTCCAACCGGGAGGAGGCCTAAAGGTAGACCCAGAACACGGTGGAGGGACTATCTCTCTCACCTGGCCAGGGAACGCCTTGGGATTGCCCCGGAGGAGCTGGCCCAAGTGGCTGGGGAGAGGGAAGTCTGGGCCTCCCGCCTTAGGCTGCTGCCCCCGCGACCCGACTCCGGATAAGCGGATGAAAATGGATGGGTGGATGGAAAAAAGGACAAGTTTGTGAATGGAAACACAGAATTTGATAGTAGTAAATATATTACATACCGTGCCTTTAAGTATGTAAGTAAACTGTATTTATTTAGCACTTATCAGACATAGAATCCCAAAGTGCTTCACGTAGATCAAAGCAGAATAAAACAAAGTCATACAATCATAATGATCTCAAAACAAAAATAAATTAACATCAGAAAAAATTAAGTCATGAATTAAAAATTTTAATAAACAGATGAAAGATTAAAAATTTGAGTTAAAAATAAGAAAACAAAAGGTTTAGGTAAAAGCAGCTTTACATAAAAGGTTTAATTCACGTTAACGGTCATTTGAAAATGGCTCCAAAGGAACAGAAAGCAAAACATAAAATGTTTTTCTTTGAATAACAGACATTTCCGTTCAGACACACCAAAACCTAAAATGATTAAAAGACCCAAACTCCTTACGCTGCTAATGGGATTGTCATCAGAAATGAAATGCTTTTCAGGAAACCACAAACCATCCTCTAACCACATTCATGCTCTGCTCCTTGGCCAGGTTCCTTGGCCACTAATTGGCCTAATACTTAAACGAGCCATCATCATTGAGTTAAATGATGACGGTGAAAAGCAGTTTCCCACGCAGCCCCTCTGTAATGACGATGATAAATAGGTAGCGAGACAGAGGGGGCGTATTTCCGAGAGCAACTGATGAACTGAAATTAATCTGAATGTAAATAATAAGGCGCCAGTTAGCAGACGAGCTACCTGCAACAAAAATAAAATAAGAGTGAGAATAAAAGTCGCTGATTAAAAAGAAAAAGCGCAATCAGAACATATGCAAAAGGTGGAAGTCTCTCACTTCCCTCCAGATGTTTGCACAACAATGGTGCTGTATCATACGTTTTCACATTAAACTGAGATGTGTTGAATGTAAATAAAAGAAATGGGCTAAAATCCCAACAGCTGTCTCTTATTGCTTTATGCATTCAAGTGAAGTTGCCACTTAATGTAGTTGCTGCAGGTTTACAGCGAACTTCAAATGTGTGGCAGGGGGATTTTTGGGTGATATTTACTGTCCCACGCTCAAAAAAAGGGTCCTGATGGTGTTTAATCTGGTGGAAAAACAGCCGTCACCTGCCTTAGTAGCATAAACATCATATCTCACCTTAAATGTGTGTGTATTTGTGATGAGAGAAAAGCACATCTTCCTCTCTTTCTCATGTGGCCTTCCATACTGAGAGCAATCGAACTAAACCAAATGGAAAACAGGCGTGAAGCTAATGAAGAGGAGGAGGTTCCAGAAACTCCTCAGATTCTGTTTAGTCCAGAAATTGCAACAAAATATAAAACAGTCATAGAAGTGAAACCACTGACGGTGCCAGGGACAGCTCGGCACGTTTGTTAGTCTCTGCTGGTGCTATTTAAAAATGACATACACAAACCTGTTGACACGACTAAAGACAGACAGGTTATTTATCAGGGATTATACAATCGTTAGAAGATTAATACCCTGGGGAGCCTAAAGACTCAGAGCTGACTTTCATCTTAGACCTGCCTCAACAGAGAGAGCTGGGGTTAGAGACACAGGGTTGAAAGAGGTACAGCAGACTCTTAGAAGACACCGAGAGTCTTCAAATGTAACCGTAGTGCTACGTGTGTGTATGTGTGTGTGTGTGTGTGTGTGTGTGTGTGTGTGTGTGCACCACTTTAACCCCTTAATGATTAGCCTTGAGGGGGTCCATAGCCATTTGGCAGCTCTTCATTTCCTGATTTTGAAAAAAAAAGCTCCATCTAGCTTTTTATCTCCTCATCACACACACACACACACACACACACACACACACACACACACACACACACACACACACACACACACACACACACACACACACACTACCGGTTGTGGTCTGACCACAGGGTTTAGCGCAATTAAGCTTACTTTGCCCCTCAGAAGTGAATGCTGTGTTAATGTGTGTGTGTGTGTGTGTGTGTGTGTGTGTGTGTGTGTGTGTGTGTGTGTGTGTGTGTGTGTAGATATTGTAATTAACAAAGATCAAACCCTTAAAGTTGGAGAATTAGCCATCACTGAAGATCTAAAGTATGCGACACGGAAGAGTGAAATCCAGCGTTTGGAGCCAGGCAGACAGATTTTGATCTCAGATTGTAGATAATTGCAACGTCCTCCCTGTTTTTTAGTCTCCAACACACACACACGCACACACACACACACACACACACACACACACACACACACACACACACACACACACACACACACACACACACACACACACGCACGCACGCACACACACACACACACACACACACACACACACACACACACACACACACACACACACACACACATACACACACACACACACACACACACACACACACACACACACACACACACACACACGCACACACACGCACACACGCACACACACACACACACGTTTAATGGAGTTAAAGTTAATCCGTTAACGTGAACTGATTCGACTTGAGGGTTTGTTACTGAAAACAGTCACGCTTTAAACCCACGTGTCAGCATGCCTGTTCCTGCGTTTAGAAAATGGATTCATACCGAAACGTTTTGTGAAGGTGAAGAAAAAAATAAATAAAATTTTTGATGATGAGTCCCAGAACTGGTGTTCACACTTTGCTGCTGTGATTCCAAAATACGGACAGAAGGGTATCCCAGAGGAACCGGAACGGAGTTGGATTATGCAGATATAATCTACCAAAATAAAACACTTTACATGATGAAGTCGCTTGAGCTCTAATAGTTAGTGCTGTTTTATTTTACGTTGCCCTTTCAGGACACGCCACCGTAACATGTTTCAGTGTTAGTCCCGGCTTTCATTAACTGCAAGATGTAAACGTCATTGGTTACTTGTTATTTTTAAATGTAAACATTTTGAATTAGCATGTACTTAAAAATGTACTTAGTGCCATTTAGGTGGAACTATAATTTACGGTTGAACCACCAGATTTCTTTCTATGGAACTCATTGCCCATTGGAGTTCGGCAGGCTCCATCTCTGGCGGTTTGTAAATCTCGTTTAAAGACCCACTTTTACACTTTGGCTTTTAGACAGTGACTCGTTTTAGTGTTTTATTGTATCATTGTTTTAATGTTTTATCTGCCTTTGATTGAGATTTTTATCCTTTGTTTTAGCTCCTTGTAATGGTTGTGTTTTTGTTTTAGCCTGTGCAGCACTTTGGGCAGCTCCCATGCTGCATTTTAAATGTGCTATATAAACAAACTATGCTATGCTATGCTATGCTATGCTTTCGTTATTCCTTGTTTTTGAAAGGTAATCAGGAAATTTGCTTTTTGCATCAATCCTCCAATAAACTGGAACAATATTCCTGTTTGTATTTGCACAATTATTTCCGGTAGAGTATTGACCGTGTGCATCTTTTGAACATTTGTCACATCTTTTTTTAAGTTAGTCAGTGCACTATTTCTATTTGTCATTTGTAGAAATGGTCTTTAGATGGCACATTTTCAAAGCAGTCCAGGGATTTCTAACAAATTTTGTGACACAAACCAGGCATTTATTCAACTACAGAGCTGAAAATGCACTTTTACCCTGTGAGTTCATATAATAATTACATGTAGTCAAACTTTAAAACAGGCCTTGAGTGTTTTTCTCCTCGAATTTGTTGCAGAAATGACCCCAAATTACTTTTAATTGTCAGTCTAATATGACAGCTGAGGATTGGCCGTATTGAAGCGGAGATCAGTCAGCTGTGAAATGTGCTCACAGCTCTGAGTCAGGATTGTGCCACGGGCTGTTCTTTATTTGTTTATTGGCGATGACGTGATGCTAGCGAGCCACTGAATGCATGTGGGCCACACACGTCTACGGCGTTCCCGCTGGCAGCTTTGGTTCATGACGTCGCTGATAAGTGACGTTTTACAACAAGACGCTGAAAGTTTGTAAGGATTTAGATGCAGGAGTGTTTATTCCTATTCCTCTGCTCTCCCAGGAAGAAGACGCAGCAATGTCAGAGAGAAGAGGTCAGAAGTTCATCTTCCTGTCGTCGTTATTGGTAGGTTGTTTATAAAAATACTCGAGTTTATTTCCAATAACCCCGCCTCCTCGCTTTCATCCGGCCTCACTCAGCACCCTCTTCTTTTCTTACTTTGATCTTTATCTGGATCCTGTGGTCTGCTGTTTACTTCCTCCTTACACGCTCTCATGTCTGGGCCTTCCTGTTGCTGCTGCTTGATAAAAGCATGTTGGTCCAGCGCTAAAGATCACAGCCACAGTCGATTCCACAGGCGGCGTGCATCATCCAGACTCTGCAGAAGCCATTTGTGCAACTTCTCCACGCTTGTACCAATGAGTCAAACTTGAAGTTTTGCACAGAGCAGATATGTTTATAATCTAAGATTTCCTGCTTGTTTTGATGTACAAACTTGTTGGCAGGGTTTACCAAAAGGCCCCTGCGCTTCCCTGCCTGCTTTTCTTTGTGATCTCTTCATATTACAGGCTAAGACTGTACTAAGAAGTTGGATTACCTTGTAAACTGTAAACTACAAGATGTGCTACGCTCATGCTGAAAAGAAAAATCCTTCTTCCGGTGGCCTGATTGATTAATTTTTTTCAAAATATTGCGACACAGCTGATTTTGTAGAATGATACGATGGGAGGTAGGTTTTCCAGCTGTTTATGAGTGTGAGGATGAAAATTAGACAGAAAACAAACAATATGTTGACACCTTTTGGCTACAGCTGCTTAATTTCTAATGTGACCTCCTAATATGCACCCTCCCCCCCCCCACACACACACACCTTTTACCTTTTAACCTTTTAGTAAGACAAATAAAAACTACCAACCAGTTTAAAAGTATTAAGTGTAAAGGTAATTTTTCTGAATGAAACCAGCTTTTCTTTATGAAAGAAGGTGCTCAAGTACCTTGCACTGAACATTGCATGAAGAGAAAAAAGAATGTCATCATGCATAAACCAATGATCTACCCCAGACATGTGATGGAAATCGTGTTTATAGCATTTCACAGTTTGGTCTGGGAAGAAATTGAGAGCAAAAAGAACATTTGGGCTTTAAATACCTGCAGTTGTCCATATTATATTATAAAAAAAGTTTTATTTCTTCTTTCAGTGTTTTATTTTGCACCAGCAATGTTGCAAATAATAATAATAATAATAATAATAATAATAATAATAATAACAGAACAAGATCATACTCATCAGTGGCTACGCAGTGCAGGACTGAAGGCAGAAACTGAAGGATTGTTGATAGCAGCACAAGACCAGAGCCTGTCAACGAGATCATACCACCACAAGATCATTAAAGATGGAACAGACCCCATGTGTAGAATGTGCAGCCAATATGAAGAAACCATTGACCACATTCTCTCAGGCTGCCCCACTCTAGCCAGAACTGAGTACATCCACAGACACGACAGGGCAGCAAGCTATAGCCACTGGAAGATCTGCAAACATTTCCATCTACCAGCTGCAGATAAGTGGTATGAACACCAACCACCAACAGTGACTGAAAACAACAACATCACAGTGTTGTGGGACATGCCAATCGACACATACAGAAATCATGGTCAACAGACCAGACATAATCATCAAAAACAAAGAAGAGAAGACCTGCCTCATGATTGATATGACCATCCCATCTGAACAAAATGTCACCACCAAGGAGCTTGAAGGACCTGGAAATAGAAGTCACAAGAATGTGGGGGATGAAGACAACAACAATACCCGTCGTAGTGGGAGCACTTGGCCTCATCAAGGAGGGACTGGAAAAGAGAACAAAACAGATTCCTGGAAACCCAACTGTCCAAGAAATCCAGAAGATTGTTCTTCTCACATCATCATCAGGACGCTTTCCATAAACTAACCCTGAAACTGCCTTAGAAGCATGGATCGATTCTGGCACTTCAGTGAAAACATACAAATATACAAAAAATGTATAATAATAATAATAATAATAATAATAATAATAACGCACAAAAACATAAAAGCTGAAATATGCATCAGTGTCAGTCTCCATTCTTGTGCACTGTGAAAACAACAGGTGTAAGAAATATGAACTCATATTTGTTCTTTGAAAGACATTTTAGTTGAAATTGTTGTCTGCACATCAGATTATTATACTTTTCTAATAATAAATTGTAAGGTGGAGGGGCGATGGATTGTGGAGCATGTGCAGTTCCCACTCTCACCACTAGATGCCACAAAATCTCACTGTGTAAATACAGCCCAACTGTTTGTTGGACTGTATTTACACCAACTGTTCATCAGGCACGTAAACTAAGGGTCAGTCCGTGTTCACTCTGGTTTATATTATTATCAGATTATCTGGCCAGAGAAGAATGCTGCTCATGTGCATTAATGAACACTTGTTCAAACAGAGCTCTGCGTCTGTCGATGCTTATGGAGAACAGGAAAGAAGCAGGGAGATATTATTAAAACAACACAGAAAGATGGAGAAACTTAGTCATGCACTCATTTGTTTTTGCTCTGTCATGTTCTGGACAGCAGATGATTGTTAAAAGTCAGTTAGCTTGTTTGGAAAAGGACAAAGAATGCTGGAAAAGCTACAAATACCAGCTGCTAGTTATTACATTAGACCACAATGACACAGTGCGCAAACTCACACACCCTGACATGTACACATGCACACACACATATGCATGCATGCACGCACGCACACGCGTGCATGCATTCACGCACACATGCACATTCATGTTTCCATCACTGTAGGGGATGAAACATTAATTTCACTTTTCTCAAATGCACCCAAAACCACAACTCGACTACATTTAATGTTACCACAACCTCAACCTCAAACCCAACTTTTTAATAAGTATTCACATAAAAATTAATGATTGTTTTTGTTTCAGAGACGTTTTGCCTCTAGAAGTGAGGTGTGTTATTTCCACCGTGTGTCTTTGTAAACACATGTTGTCTCAACAACCTCCTCGTTGCTTAGTGTGCACAAAGCTAGTGTTTGCAAATCTGAGCATCACAGGCTTCGAAACTGGTCAGTTGCCTGGTTTTACTAAACACCACCTCCATCATTCAGTACACCTAATATTGTTCTATAAAATCAGAATTAAAAACTTCATTCTTCTTGAAAGAATTCCTTGCACTTTGTGCTGCAAGCAGATAAAACTTAATAAGATATTGGATGATGGAGAGAGAACTACATATTTTAAGGGATCTGAATAATTAAATAATAAGAAATGTAAACACATAGATATGTGTAATGTGTTTGTGTATATATTTGAAAAAATCTCAAAAAAGACCAAACATGCTTTTTCTTTACGCATTCTTAGAACACATCATGTTATGACAATTGGTGACTCCCTCAAGCCCAGCTTCAGGTGGAATTTGCTCATTTTGAATTGGAAACTTCTTGCCCTGAGTCCTGTCATGCTGCAATTGCATTACATATAAGTGTTATTTAAGCAGTCGTTCCTTTGTCTCCACTCACTGAGCTCTCCACCTGTCTGTCTCTCTGTGTCCCCTCCAGGTGTGTTGTATGTTCGCTGGTGCCGAGCATTCCAGCTGTGGAGAAAATGAGTTCTTCAACCAGACCAGCAACAGCTGCCAGGCTTGTCCTCAATGCCAGCCGGGACAGGAACCACACATGGTGGGAGTAAACACATGAAGCACACACAGGAAAGCCATTCATTAAGGCCACGCTCCTGTTTGTTTTCATTTTGAATTTAAAATAGGTTTTTTTTTTCATGTGTTTATGCACCTTAAATGTATTTTAGCAAATATTTCAATTCAGGATTTGAATAAACATGACTGTTCGTGACTGCAAGAAATTGACATTTTGAACCTGGTATGTGTCAGTTATGCTCAGACCACCCACCCACACACACACCCACACACTCCCCCCCACACACAGACACCGCTGCACACTGAAGGGTGTCCTAATTCAAATGAACAATCTCTTTATGGTTTTTTGAGCCCATTGACTTCCATGTGAAGGCATGCATTATGCTGGATGATTTGCGGTAGTCACATAGTGATTTAGTGTTCATCAGTCTGTCTGCAGACAGCCAAAGTAAACACAGCACAGGTAAACGCTTCAGTGGGCACCTCAGGGTGCCCCACCCGGCTCACAGAGACAGCTGCAGTCAGGAGTGAATTATATAGTCATTAAGACACTCGTGTCTTGAATTTTACTCCTCAAGTGCCGACTTTCTAGTCCAGTCAGTGGAACAAGAAACAGGAATGGAGCTACAGGAAAAAGTTATAGTAAGAAGTAATAGTAAATCTAAAATCATCACATTGCTTTCAAACTGTAGTTCAACAGAAATATAAGAAATGAAAATAACATGGGCCACAAACTAATGTTGTGTTGAACAACACTTTGGGGAGACCACTGCAGCCAAATGATTTCTGAGACTCAGACGTCTGCACCTGCTGACAGGTGCTTTAACCCTCAGCTCATTACCGTTTTGTGTTTTTTATTTTTTTCCAACCACAATTCAAAAACTAACTTTTATTTCACGGCTCAAGAACTGTTTATTTCCCCGAGTGATCGCCACTCTGAATGCACACGTGCACCAAAAACTTCATACAAATGAACCTACTCGTAATTATGTTACTTTCGGACGCCAGCATTTCCAAAGTCCCTACAGAACACTCAAGCAATAAATGAACTCAACAAGAAAAAAATAGTAAAACAAGAAAATTGTTGAAAATGTGGGGTTTGTTTGAGGAAAAGGCGTAACATTATCATATAGCATTATTTTACCTTAATATTATTACAGTGACTTTATTGTTAATATTAATAATTTACATTAGGCTAAAGCCCTTACTGCCCCACATCAAAAAAAGCTGAAGTGGAAGTGCTTATGTCTTGGTGAGGGAGTTAAAGGGTTAAGGTGCTTTTATTTACTCTATGATTTTTCCTTTTTCATTACTCGTGTACATTTTAGGGGCTGATTCATTTTGCCGGCAGCACTTTGTTGAACAATGGCAGTAGAGCTTTCTAATTCTGGGTATTTATTTTGGTATTTTCTATTAGCTATATTTTGAATTTTTAATTATTTCGTGACTTTTGTGAATTTTGTTTTTTCTTTAATGGAAGGATATGAACAAATGTGAGGATTACTGCATAATCATGGCTAAAATCCTAATGTAAAGTTCCAGAGAGGGTTTGTTTTCATAGTGCTGTATAGCAGCTAACAATAATGTATTATACCACCATATTGGTTCATAAGTGTAATATGGCGCTTTTTGTCTGCTTTAAGATGATCAAAATTGAAATGTTTCATTAAAAAATTAGAATGCCACTCATCTGGGCTAAGCCCCGGATCCTTATCCATCTTAAATCTGCCCCTGGTGTGAAGTGAATAATGAGTCCGTCAGTGTTTTACTTCCTTTACTGCGTATGACTCGTCTTTGCTTGTCATCTAAACATCTCTGGTGCTTGTCCATAACTGGCAACAGCCATGAAACCCACGGAACACCAGTGAGAAAGTGATTTTTTTGCTTAGAAAATTGACTACAGTAACTAAATTTGACCACAGGTTGTCATTTTTACTTCGTCTGTTTATTACATATTGCACCTTTAAAGAAAAATGTACATTACATGCGTTATGTTATGGGCGACAGTGACACAGAAGTTAAGTGCTTGCCCCGTAATCGGAAAGTTACCGGTTCGAGCCCCGCTCAGTTTGTCACTGTCACTGTGTCCTTGGGCAAGACACTTAACCCCCTTTGCCTGCTGGTGGTGGTCAGAGGGACCGGTGGCGCCTGTGCGCAGCAGCCTCTCCTCTGTCAGTGCGCCCCAGGGCAGCTGTGGCTACGTCGTAGCTCATCACCACCAGGGTGTGAATGGGTGAATGACTGATTGTGTTGTAAAGTGCCTTGGGGGGTTCCAGGACACTAGAAGGCGCTATATCCAAAACAGGCCATTTACCATTATATATGTTATGTTAAAAGTAATGGTATTTTACTCAGTTTTTAGTATTTAAGAAGATGAAAAACCACCCATTTTTATTGATTTTATTATTTGTTTTACTAATTCCTCCTGAATTAATTTTTGTCATTTACATAAAATAGTCATGATTGAACTCAGGTCACAAAGAAATACAAAACACGAAATAAAAGTAAAATATGGTTTTATATTTTTCCTTAATAGCCCGAAACATGAACTGTATTTTTGTTACTTCTCTACTTTGACAGATATCATACTGACAGGATTCATTTCTGATATCTTATTCAAATCCCACACAAATAGGGAACATCTGCAGAAGGTTCTGAACAGAATGAAGCAATAGGAGGAAGACTTTGTTCCTATTTCCCTTTTTTCTCTACATGTCATGCATGTTTCTCTTTTTTGAAATGTCGATTCTATTTTTTCACATAAAGTTAAAGTCCCATAGTCATCACACACTGGTGAAATTCATCTCCCCGTTTCACCCAACCCCGTGGGGAGCGGTGAGCTGCAGCAGTGGCTGTGCTCGGGAACTTTTTGGTGGTTTTACCTCCAATCCAAGCCCTTTAAGGATGAGCGTCAAGCAGGGAGGCATTGGGTCTTTGGTATCATCCGACCGGGATTGGAACCCCGATCTCCCAGTCCCAGGATCAGACACTGAGAAGGTATATAGAACGCCCCTTCTACAATTTGTCGAGTTTTAACTTAATCAGATGATTCACTTGACTCGTAGAACAGAGAGGGTTAGTCTGCTGGAGTAATTCCTGAGCAAAACCTTCCTAAAATTAAACAAAATCACTGAGATGAGAGGCTCCTTGACACTTTCTCCTGCCTGTTTGATTCTCTGTGTGCCACAGCCTGTAATTCACATGTTCTTCTATTTTCCTGGGGTCTTTTTTTGTGCGTGAGCATGTGTTGTGACCTGCTTTTAATCCTCACATCAGAGACGTCAAAAGTACATGCCCACACACACTTAGATACATCACATAATGACAAAGGTCATTGAAGCTCCCTTTCAAAAGAAACTTCTTAAGATTCATGAGTATAAACACAGAAAAATACGTTTTTTAATCTAACGAGTGACAAAAGTGAATTTTGCACAAAAAAAAACTGTTCAGCATCAAATGCATGTTTTCATGTTGGTTTGGAATGTATTTCACTTTCCTCCTGTATTTCTTTTCCCAACTTCCCAGATGACAGCTTAAAGCAGAAATCTGGAGTCCCCCCCCTTTCAGGAATTTTGTTAGTCTAGTAGCAAAAACAGGACCAGTTTTGTGTCTTGCCAATCACAGCGCTCTACGTTTGGGCTGGGCAGGCTAAGCACCAGAGCTGCGATGGAGAAAAACTACCAAGATGGCGCCGGCTCAGGAACAACGCTCATTTAAAAAGCTTTGGCATCAATCAACTTTGGACGTTTTAGACTTGGGCCTTTCTTTGATACATGAACAGATAGAAGCCTCTTTTTTTTTGATAAAGGATGTATTTGCTTCTTCTTCTTCGATGGTGAATGGCGGACTGCCCAGTTGACTGATTGCCGTAGAAATGAATATACCACGTTGTTTATTTAGCAGTTTTGTTCTTGGGCTGGGCGACATGACCTCAAACCTATAATGCCATATCATCTGAAGCATGTGCAATAACCATATTCATTGCAATATATTTTTCCTCTGTTTATATATGTCAAAATGACATGCTTTTAAAAATCCTCATATGGCAAATATACTGCAGAACAATAAAGACGTCCAAAAAGTGTAGAATACTCCTCCTCCTCCGCCCACTCCATGCTTGCAGTCACCGCCATTCTGTTGTCCCAATGTCAGCGCAGGTGCACATCGTAGTGATGCCATGTGTTACTGCGATATCACAATAGAGCCAAAAACTCTATCATTACCCAATTTTATATTGTTTCTACCTTATGTCGTTATATTGCCCACCCCTATTTTGTACCATCCATCCATCCATGAGGCCCAGACTTGCCTCTCTTCAGCTACTTGGGCCAGCTCCTCTGGGGAAATCCTGAGGCGTTGTCAGGACAGATGAGAAACATTTAGTCCAAGGTCTTCCATTAGGTCTCCTCCCGGCTGGACGAGCCTGCAAAACCTCACCAGGGAGGCATGTAGAAGACATCCTAACAAGATGCCTGAACCGCCTCAACTGGCTCCTCCAGGGCTGACCCAAGCCTTTGTGGGGCCTTAAAGAGCAAGTCACCCCCAAATCCACTTTTTTTTTTTGCTGATAAACTATATAAATGAGTGTCTAATCTTGCTGTAGACATGTGTAGTCAATAATTTGACACTTAAGTGCATCTTATTCAAAATTTAAATGTTCTGCCTAAAACTGTCAGTGTTGAGCCCTCTTTAGGTAAAAACTCTGCACTGAATTTGAATTTAAATCTACCATCACTCTTGGTTAATAGGTACACTGTGACGTTAGGTGGTACATTATGATGTCACAATGTGGTTGTGAGCCTGTGTGTGTGTATTTGTTAGTGGCTCCACCCCCGCAGTCTGCCAGGCAACAGCATTTGTTGAAATTTTCAAACAGGAAGTGGGCGTGGAGTAAGACTCAGGTAGGCGGTGGCTTGCTCTTCAAGCAAGATTTCTTTTGGAGCCCTCCATACCAACAAGTCAACACCAGATCATTCATTCATCATTCCTTGGCTAAACTATGTGTGTAACATACCCGCTATCGTTAGCATCATTTGTAAGCAGCTTACATCATATCAGTGTCATTACGGCTTTTAATTTAATCTTTACAGGAGTAACGAACCAACTAAAATGCTCTAAATTATTTGTATTTCCCAATGCAGTGTTGCGGAAGTGTGATATAATAATTTCAATATGTGAAAGTAGCTTCAGCAAACACTGAATTTATTGTAAAAAAGTAAAGTTTACTGTTTTCTGCTCCTGAAATTAGGACTACATGTGTAGAATGTGTAATCACTACACCATAATACCAAAAGACAATATAGAAAGTAATATTTACATATTTTCCTTGTGTAATATCATTTAGTTTTCATTATTTAAAGTTATGAAAACATTTTTTCTCAAGTCATTTTGGTGATTTTTGGTGGGCCCCATGGTGGTGTGGGGGCCCCAAGCAGTCACATAATCTGTGCAAGCCTTGGGCCGGCTCTGGGCTCCTCTCGATGTGGATATATTTACCATATTTGGGATGGTTTGTGAGGCTGGAATTATGTTTGACTTTTTAGAAATCCGTAAAAATAATAGTTTCTAATTATTTTTGCTAAGCAACCCCAACCCTACCCCATTCCATAGACAATTTGAATTGAGCGTCACTTGGCATTGGCCAATAGTGTTAGACATTCGCTTACATACAGATGTCGACCACAGAGCGTTTGCAGAAGTACCTAGACTAATGCAGAGTTTTCAACATTTATGGACATGAATGAACAGCATAATGTGAGAATATTTGTAAAACAGTGTGTTTTTGCTCGTTTGGACGGCGAAAGGTGCGTGTTCACAAACGAGAGGCGTTGGTTCCAGCCGTAATCATGGAAGTAGGGAAAGTGGCTTGAGGTGCAATACATTTCTCCCCCTCTAGATGGTGTCCTCTGAGAAAAAAACCTGTGGATATTTACTAGAGGCGCTGAAAAACATCGATTCAAGTCTGAATCGAGATTCTTAATTATAAAGGTTCAGAATCGATCCCAAGAACTCAAATGTTTGGCATGTTACCGGTTTGAGATGCACTTTTGTCTGTTTTTTTATCTTTGTTAGGAAAGTTAGTTCTCCGATTACTTTTGTGGTCCCATAAATTGAGATGATTTATTTTTCAGTCTGCTGATAAGAGGGCACTTGAATGCAATTTTTTCCATACTCAGAAATTTGAGATATTCTCATATTTATTTTCTAAGTTGATAAGTGAGCACTCAGGATTACTCATGTATTTATTTTAAGTTATTGATAAATGAGGGAACACATTTTCCTTTGTAAGAAATCTGAGGCACTTTTTTAAAACAGGTCGAGGACACAAATGTTAAACTTGTTTCCACTTGAAAAGTATTTGACCGTATTACTTTCAAAGCCACTGTTAGATAACTACAGATTTGTTATATTTTACAAGGTAAGCACAAATAAATGCCTTTTGGCCAAAAGATTGCTTCTGTTTACAGTTTTAGAATCACTTTATTTGACCTTGTAAATCTGCATTTTTTTAGCATAACCAGTAAGTACAATAAAAATTTCCCATAGCTTTAACTAACTTGTACAACAAAGTAGTTAATCCTGGAACCGACACTCTTTGCAAATATTGATTCTGAATCGAATCGGCACCCCGAGAATGGGAATCAAATCAAATCGCGAGTTGCTCTAATATTCACATCCCTAATATTTACTAGAAAGCCAGTAAATTGGAAAAAAAACTATCGGTTTTCAAATGAGAGTCACCAGGAAGTTTCTAAACAGCAAAAAAAAAAAAAATTACTTTTAATAGGAACAGATTTTCAGTCGCTCTGGAAGTGGTTTGAACCCATGAACAGAAGCAGGGTCTCAGCAAGCCCACAGAGAAAGATCCAAGATGCGTTCTAACCCAAAGTGACGTGATTCTGCTCATAGCTCGCTGCACTGTTCCATTAAAAATAATCACACTAAGACTTGCAGACGTCAAACAGAAGGGCGAGGATATGGGATTTCTTTAGGAGCCATCCGACTAGCCCAAAGCTACGGGGCACAGGCGTGTTTAATAGACAGATGAAAGAGGAGGCAAAAAAAGGAAAAAGGAGTATGTTTTTGTAAATGTGAGCATGTGTAATTTTGTGTGTGGCCTGTTTCGGCCTCCCCACTGAGAGGAAGCACCATTTGAAGAAGATCGATGCGAGAAAACATAACGACGAGTCAGTCGACCTAAACACTTCCATGCATGGAAAGCTGTGCACACATATCCTTTGTGACCAATCTGATTTCTCTCCTGTCATCTCCAAAGAGTAGAGCCAGATTTTCATGAAGGACTATTTTAGAAACAGATGTGTGTGTTTTAAAGAGTGTGTGTCATCACAATGATCTGAAAAAACAAACAAACAATAAATTGACTTTTTTTTTCTAGATGAATTTGGTGTTTATTGCTAAGTAAAATCCAAGATGTCTGTATGAAATAAAGGTTTGTGTGTGTGTTCTGCAGAACTGTGGTTTCGGTGTGAAGGATGAGGACTTTGCCTGCGTGCCGTGTCCACATGGTAAATACTCTAAAGGAAGGTATGAGATCTGCAGGCGCCACAAGGACTGTGATGCCCTCTACAAAGCTACTGTTCGGGTAGCAGGGACTCCAGAACGTGATGCAGAGTGTGGACCATGTTTACCAGGGTAAATCACACTACCACCCAACATTATTGACTGCACCTAGCATTGATATATTTTTTTCAGTGCAAAAAAACTGTCTGGTTCACTGTGAGAAGGTGTTAACCACACAGTTAGATCTTTGTTCTATGTTTTTTTCAGGCTGTTTGTGTGCACTTTTCTTTTAAAGTAATGTTAATGTTGGTGTCACAGACAGTTGTGATGTCACAAACAGGGAAAGTAGAATAGAACCACCTATCGCATGCAAGAGAGAGCTGCTGATGGAGGAGCAGTGGCTCTATTCTGAGCCCCACCCAGATATTGGAGCTTCTCTGTTTATAGAAGCCTGAGTGAGGTTGGGTGGGCGTGGCCAGTTCTACCTCCTTTATTTAAATTTTTTTAATTGACAGAGCCCCTGAAATGCCTCATTCTGGAAGATACTGAACATGTCAAGAGTACAACTGCTAAGATTGCTTCATGTGAGAGGGATTTAGTGCAGAGAACTTCATAAACATGTTTCGGATTGACCATAGAGCTATTATAACTTGAGAGAATAAAGTCTTCGTGTGTCCCTCTTAAATATAACGTGAAGTTTGTTTCTATGCATTTTTGATATGTAAATAAATGTACCCTTCTCCTGTATTGTGTACTTTATATCACTGACTGCAGTATAATCCCAAAGCATGATTCATCCACCTCTGTACTTTACAGCTGAGGAGGATTTAAGTATACCTTCAAAAACATTTCATTTCAACCCAGTTTCCTGGTACTTGTGTCCAAAATGCATCAAAACGGCATCAGGTTTGCGTAAATGCTAATAATTTTTTTTTGTTTTTGTAAGCTAAAGAAACAAAGATCCTTACGTGACTTTTTCTCATCTCCTCTTCTCACAATATTTTGAATGATTGAAATCTCAAAAAGGGTCACTTCATTTCTTTTACACACTTTTAAAGAAGTCAAAGTACTAAAAGCAACGGATCTGAGTCTGAGCTCTCTTTGAATTTTCCTTGTAGTGTTTCTTGGTCAATCACCACAACATGTAGAACACAAAAACACAGAACAATTTGTGTAACGACTGCGTACCAAATCATTCATTATGGCCAGAGATTCCTGAAACTCATTTATTATTGATTTCACATTAAATGAAATGCTTGCATGAAATTTACACATATTAACCACATAAAGCTGAGACGGGTTTCCATTTGTTCAGCAGCAGAATCGTCCAGAAACAGTTCCTCGGGACTGAATTTATAGTAGCTGAGGATGCTTCCGCAAATATATATATATATATAATATACTGTATATATATACACAGTATATTATATATATATATTTGCGGAAGCGTATATATATATATATATATACACAGTATATTATATATATATATATATATATTTGCGGAAGCGTATATATATATATATATATATATATATATACAGTATATTATATATATATATATTTGCGGAAGCGTATATATATATATATATATATATATATATATATATATATATATATATATAATATACTGTATATATATATATATATATATATATATATATATATATATACAGTATATATATATATATATATATATATATATATATATATATATACAGTATATTATATATATATATATTTGCGGAAGCGTATATATATATATATATATATATATATATATATATATATATATATATATATATATATATATATATATATATATATATATCGTTTTTGTTTTTGACTTCCACAAAAATAGGCCACCCTGTTTTGGAGATTTTTGCCTGTTTGTTTCATGGAAGTAAAATGTATGATAAAGTAGGTGATGAAGAATTTGTCAGGGAAACGAGAGATTTATGCTCTGAAAATATTTTAGACCCCTCCCACACCCTGAGAGATGTTCATTGATAAAACATCCACCTGTCATCATTCAGGATGATCTCTCTCCTTTGTTTCAGTTCTGGGTCTCAATTGATCGGATGTTTTTGTTTTGATTGATTTGATTCCTACATGAGGGAGTTCAGTCTGGTCATGTCTAATTGTGTGCTGTTTATGCTGCACCGTACAGTCTGTGTTCCTGTTTCCTGACAAATAAAACAGGCCTGAACAGTTTGAAATTTCAGTTTAAACCTGTAGCTGATCAGAAGAATCACAGGTAATATTTTACTAATAATTATTTTCTTCAATAATACTTACTAATCCAATGACAATAATGACATTTGCACTGAAGTTTTTATATTTTTGCTTCCATTTTGCTCTGATTACCAAATAAAATATACAGAGAATTAATACAACTTTAGATTATTCATAATAAAACAATTTTTTTTTCATTTTAATCAAATTAATTGAGATTTTAGATTTATATCAAATGTTTTGGAATAAGTCAAAAATGTTCTCAAAATCTCTTTTACAATAAAATATTTTATCAATCACTTGTTTAGTTGAATTTTATTTTCTGAGTGGGATTTAATATATTTGGCTGTAAATTCTCAGGTCAGTCAACACTAAACAAGTACCTGAATACATGTTTGCTATTCAAACAAACTATAAAAGTTATTTAGAATTAAAATTATTTTTATCAAAAGAGATTCAGGATGTCAAAAAGTGAATGCATCATGACAGTATGCACTAACCAGTTTAAATCTAGCTGTTCCCTTTGAGGTGAACCATTCATAATCTCACATAAAAGATGAATGTATCACTCAGTAAACTGCACTGAGAATTGACAAGGAGCTTCTGGCTTGTGTACATGAGTGCACCTACATATGCCAAATGAGATTTAAAACATGACACATAATTCTGGCATAACGATTTAAAATGCACATTTTCTACGTGCGCCGCTAACCTGCAATCATTTCCATGTGCCTAAACATATTTAATCCATCTGCATGATTCCTTCATCATTTCATTTTCTGGAAAATAATTCCCAGAGGAACTGTGCTTTGTTTATTTTCAGACAGAGTGGTTATAAAAATGATTGGTAGCCTAAAAGAATCTGGGAAACAATAGATGCAACAGTAGGAGCCGCAATAGTAGAAGCAGAAGTGTCCGTTGTTCTTAAATGATTTGTTGTGTTCTACTTACACAACGTACAAAAACATTGCACAAATGGTTGCGACTTGGAGCTAGAATGATCAAATCTGATCAACGTTTCTGTCAGAAACCTCTTTGGACTTTGTCCGAGGGTTGAAATCTAAGATTAAATGTAACACAAGATGATATCTGATGGGTGCATTTCAAGAACAGATTCTCCAACATCTCTTTGGATTCGATGCGGTTCGGGTCATGCCTGACCTGAACCAGCATGAAATACAAAGTTTGACAATAATCTCCAGACAAGTGTGGTGATGTGGTGAAGAATGAGGAAAAAAGCATTAAAGAAATGTGCAAAAATAACAGCAAGAAGGTGAAAACTAAAGCTGAAAACCCTCAAAACTATCAGAATCACAATAAGTGATGTATTCATTAGTTCTGCATTCTAAACTCATAAAATATTTAACATAGAAACTATTCTATTTCTGTTGCTTCATCAAGTCTGATCTGCTTGCTGGGTTTTACTGAGCAAGAATGCGTGGCTTAACCTTCTGCTCGCCTGCAGGCTGTAGCTGTTCTGTTGCAGGTCTCATATACGCTCCTGGTGTCCTCCAGCCTTCAGAACCTTTTCCCTTTTTTCTCCATTTTAAATGCAGTTTATGACTTTGGGCGAAATTTGTACCAAGCTCTGCTTGCTGCCTTCAGGGCATCAATTATGCACTTTTGCATAGGAAGTCAAACTTTTAACCTCAGCTGCTCATATGTATGCACTGAATAAGTGTTGGGAGGTCACAAACACACTCCCAACACCTGCTGTCATAACTTTCAGGTGCAAAAATGTTTTTTTTTTTTCTGTGTACATTTTTGCATTTTTTATTACAGCAGTTTATATTATAACGTAAAATCCTCCTTGGAGTGTGTTTTGGCACGACGCTGGAGATGTGATATTTATCACAATACGGGGGAGACGATACGATATATTGCAATATTAAAAAGCCAGATGATATTTGCATTTTTAAGACTGAATTTAACTAGAAAACTGATGCCACCTGGCAGTCAGAGTTTAAATTGCAGCACACAAAAGAAATGCAGTAAATGTTTGCACTTTAATTCTGGTTTTAAATATTGATTCAGTATCATAACACACAATTATCAATAGGTTTTTACATCCCGACAATCCACACTGTTCAACAGTCTAACCAGTTGTATTTTTATGTTGTGTAGGTATTACATGCTGGAGACCAAACCCAGGAACCTGTATGGAATGGTTTGCCACTCCTGTCAAAATGCCCCACGCAACACCAAAGAATGTAAGACCTGGTTTTGTTTTCACATCATCTTTTCTCTTACTTTGCTTTTATGCAACATATTTTTTCCAACCATTCATTTTGACACCAACCATCACATCCCGACATCTCTCACAAGATTAGAAGCTGCTGAAAGGTTTCATGCCTAAAAATCAAAGGAAATAAAAGTTGACAGGTTTTGCAGAAACAGATGCTGGGAGCCTGGATTTAGTTTGAGGAAACAGTTGAAGGTCAGAGGTTGTGCTGAAGCCTCCCAAACCCTCTGATCACCGTTCTCTCTGTGAGGAGGATCAGTGATGTAAAGAAGTAGTTTGCACACACATCGGTGCCTCCTTCTTGGCTCACGGCCTCCCTAGCTCCTTGCTGCTCATCGATAACATCGCGGCCCCACTAACCACCACGCACACCCGAGAGCATGCGTCAATCTGAGCATGCACGAGTGTCGCTCAAAATTTCTTTACGCTCGCAGGACACCAAGAATGTGCTTGAAACGTGATTTTTGAATGGATCTGCAGATGCATCTCAAATTTCCAGTGGCAGTTTCTGACGACGTGTTCATCTCACATTTGCTGTGATCGTACAAAAACATCACTGCCAATTATTTTTCCATTTTCCATTTGAGCTTCTAATAATTAAATAACCACAGTTTCTCATGCTGGATGTGCCGCATGTGTAAACTCGCTTAAACGTGATCTAATCTAATGTTGTGTCTTCAGGTATTAAAAAAATTACAAAGTCAAACATGCTGTAGGTTCAAATCCCATGCCTTGGAGCTGTGAAGATATTGATAATAACATGTTTTGAAGGTTTTTACTTTGACAAGTGCAATTTAAAGTGTACTCTTTCTCACTAGTTGAAAATTAACCATCAGATTTAATTACTCGCCCCGTAATCGGAAGGTTGCAGGTTCGAGTCCCGCTCAGTCTGTCGCTGTCGTTGTGTCCTTGGGCAAGACACTTAACCCACGTTGCCTGCTGGTGGTGGTCGGAGGGACCGGTGGCGCCAGTGCTCGGCAGCCTCGCCTCTGTCAGTGCGCCCCAGGGCAGCTGTGGCTACATCGTAGCTCATCCCCACCAGTGTGTGAATGTGTGTGTGAATGGGTAAATGACTGATTGTGTTGTAAAGCGCCTTGGGGGGTTCCAGGACTCTAGAAGGTGCTATATCAAATACAGACCATTTACCATTTTACCACTCATTGCAATAAAGCTCCAATACAGAGGTTTTGCCCCTTTCAATAATTATGTATTATATTTTTAGAAATCTGTAAAAGTTATGTGGGCAATATGTCAATATATGTGTATATATATATATACATATATATATATATATATATATATATATATATATATATATATATATATATATATATATATATATATATATATATATAAAGACCAAGTTCACTCATTTTTTTCAACACATTTGCAGTGCTCTCTTGTATATAATCCTTTGAGGGAGAAGCTCTGGTGCTCCTGTTTCAGGAACTAGAAGTGAGCCAGAACAGAGGGGAGCACAGCACGGGGCAGGATTTGGAGTCGTATCTCCTGATAATCGGACATCTTGCCTCCGATTTGCTAACAGCAACACAACTCTACCACTGACTCCATTTGTTTTGTAAGGCTGATGTTTTATCTCCACAAATAACACAAGTCTAGAGGAGTTCTGCCGTGTTGTGGAATTGCTAACGCTAACAGCTAGCTTCCACTAGCCGAGAAGTGCCCTGCTCTCTCCTGGATGCTAAATCAACAAATGCCTTTCCTGTCGTGAGCTAAGATGGGTGAGTTCAAAATTAACAATATGACTTGCAATTAAATTTTTCGAATCTAAGTGTTTCACCGTCCATTTCCTATTGGCAGCCAATGTAGGAAAAAGGGGTAGAAGACTATTTCATGTTTAGCCTACATGTTAAACTCTTAGTGATTAATCAATCCTCTTTCAAAATAACAAGTAAAGAACTGTTTATGGACTTGGCCTTTAAGGTGCATTACATTTATCCTCCTCTAGGGGTGCCATTTTACAAAAAAAAATTACCTTGATTTCTGCTTTAACTTTGCAAACGTAAAAACATTAAAAACTGACATAGGAAGAAAATGGTTTATCAATTCTTCCTCTAGAGATGAGCCTTTAAATTAAATCAAGCTAATTATTTATGTTGTCTGCTTGTGTTCCTCGTGGGTTGTTAAGATGTGACAGATGTGTTGTTAGAAAAATGAAAGCTCACCAAAATGCTCAGCTTGGTATTTCTGTCTCTCTGCGTTTCACTCTGCAGTGGGAATGATATTTATGGGGCGGTAATTGCTTAAAATCCCCTCTGAGTGTAATTAAAGAGCCCAGAAACTAATGTTATTGTTGTTGTGTCACATTTAATTAATGAGTGTGTTTTGAAAGACAAAATCCCCCAAATGCAGCCTGGGTCTGCAAGAAAGTGTGTTGTTGTACACACACACACACACACACACACACACACACACACACACACACACACACACACACACACACACACACACACACACACACACACACACACACACACACACGCCGTACATACTGTACACGTGCATAAAATACATGCCATAACTGCTTTTTAAAACAAAATAAGTGCAAGTAGGACCTGCAAAAGTCCCAAAAAAGAGCAAGTTTGATAGGATTTTGGCTCTTACTTACAAAGACGGCAGATATTCACATATAATTATCTAGTTACACACTATTTCCTCAACTTAATGTCAATTCATCAGACAAATGATTTTTTTCAAAAACACACTCTTTGTAGGTTTTCAACCCCTTTACTTCTGATAAATGTTTAAGCTGTTGAACTGCTTTTGTCTCTCCTGAACTGAAATCCTCTTAACAGGGAAATGATAACAACGTTTGCCAAACGCCAACTCTAAAAAAGGATCTAAAGCTGGGGGGGTTTATTTGCTCAGGGTGAAGGCAGGCTGACACTTGCCATGTAATCTGTAAATTACTCTGGCTCCTACCTAGCTATGTGTGTGATAATTAAAATTTTGGCGGGTATGAGAAAGATGGATGATTAGCATGTTTGTGCTTGCGCCGATGCTACTCTTTGGCAGGTTGCTTTATGGACCTGTAGGCACCGCTCCGGTTCCACATTGTCCTTCTGATCCCTACTGACCTTTTTCACAGCTGTACACCCAATCCTCCCTTTAGTTTCTGCTCCTTTTGTTTAGACCTCTAAGTACCTTGATCGGCCAGCAGGTTTGTCATTTTGCCGAGTGTTCAGCTTGATTAAGAGATTAAACCACAAGACGCTAAACAGAATTCCATTTCAGACTCACGTCCTCATCCGGAGAAGCGTAAACACATACCCGGAGTTGATGTCTGCAGCCACAGGGTGCTGGTTTGTGTGAGTGTGTTTGTGTGTATATGTGGTGACACGAGGCCCTGAGACCAAGGAAAGACGGCGAGGCACATGCCAAAGAGGTCTCTAGTATATCAACTCAATGAAAGACTGATTAAAAGATGTGATTTATGTGCTGCCGGGAGTTTACAGCTCCATTAGGCAAGAGGAAATTGAGTTGATGAAAAATCCAGAGGTGGAGGACTGGAAGCAATAGATAGATAGATGGAGGCAGACTGCTTTCCGCCATCCCGTTCAGTGGGAGAGAGTCAGACTTTAACTGCTGTCGGAGCTGAACTTTTGCTTTTCCAAAAGGTTTTTGCTTGAGATATGTTGTCGTGCAGCAGCATTCGGAAAACAAATGCAAACATACCATCCTTGATGGGTGCTGGCACATGAAGCTTGCCTCTAAATATTCACAAAAAAGCCAAATCCAGACATCATAAGACATAAATAAACTGATTGTTTTTGCTTTTCATTCATTTTAGTTTTATTGCTTCAAAACCCATTTTTTCTTGGTCAGTAATGATGATGCCTGGTTCACTAGGGACGGACATAGCAAGACTTTTATAGAGCCCGCAGTTCTGTCAATGCTGCATCAACACATCTGTACAAAACAATCTCACAGCTTCACAGTTTTGTTGTATAATCCTTGTAAATCATTACATTTTCCATGAAGACAATTTACCAGAACAAGCTGCTTAAAGAGCGGGTTGACTTGGAAGCCATTTTTTTACTTCCGAGTTTAACATGCAGGCTAAACATGAAAATTGCTGTCCACTCCTATGTCCTCCATTAGCTTCTGAGAGAAAACAGACGGTGAAACTCTCATTTCAGAAAAGTCTCACAGATCTATGTCACACTGTCACGCAACATTCATGGACTGACCCCATCTGGCTCACAACAGAGGAGGCCGTCGTTGGTTTAGTGTCCAGGAAACGGCAAAGAACGTCTCGATTAGTAGAAGCTAGCATTAGCAACTCCACCACACAGCAGAACGCCTCCAGGCTTGTGGTATTTGTGGGGATAAAACATCAACATTACAAAGAAAATGGTCAGTGTAACCCCGGCTTTCCACAGGAGCCGTCAGCTGCGCGAGTCGGCCGCGTCTCAGGAGCAGCACGTTGCGGCCTTTACGCGCCGGTTCTATTTTCTACGCGCGACGCCTCTGAAACGGGTCAAGTTCGACATTTTTGGGGAAGGAAAGACGGGAAGTCGGACGCGGAAATGGAGAGAAGCTACAGAGATTTTCAGAATAAAGAAACGTACTGCCTTCCGGTTGCTTTACTTTTAAGAAAGGTTACTAACTGTGCGGCCCCGTGAGAAGTTATCACCTAGCTAGTGGTCTACTTTGTTTTTCAGGTCCGCATTGGCGATTATAAAACGGACAGAACATAAAACACAAACCATGTTGTAGTTTTCTCCTGCTTGTTGTTGTGTTTACTGACGAAGTCACTCGTGTGACTTCGTGCTCGGTCGGTGACAGCTGCCCCCCTGCTGCTTCGCATCTCGTGGGAAGGGCCAAGCAGCAGCTTACGCGAGCAAGACGTGCTGCTGCAGTAACGTGCTGCTGACGGCTCCTGTGGAAAGCAGGGGTTAGAGTCAGGTTGCTGTTAGCCAATCATCCATCTAACTTCTACGTCCTCCTCCGCTTGGCATTCCCTGAAAGTGTTTGAGTTAGGCCTTCATTTATGTTGATTTTAATTCCCTGCTTTCATTGGTCTCTTTACCTCTTGTTTTACCCATTTGTTTTCTACTTTAATGTTTTTACCTTTTTCTCTCTTCAGTGCCTTGGGCTTCCTGACAGGGTCGCGGAAGGCGCTTTATAAATAAAGCTTTGATTGATTGATTGATTGATTGAGTGGTCCTGAAACAGGAGCATCTGAGCTTTTATTCCACAGAGTACACCTCACAAGGCATTCATTCCTACTAGAGACCTCTGCAAATGTATTAAAAATATGAGTAAACTGGGCTCATCTTACAGTAACACTCAGCAGCTAAACAGAACCGGATCATTTAACCGATTCACCAGCAGATAATGAACTGGAAGCACATCATGTTTATGTATTTGGTTAGTGTTTTTGCACATATATGAATCAATGTTTGTGTTTTACAGGCATGCAACCCAACAAGTCTAAATTAAAACCTCTAATTAATGCTGGCAGCACCACAGTTTTCCCTCATCTAAATAAAGGTAGGAACAAAATGACTATTTAATAACATGCCTGTTATTCTGTTTTTTGTCACCCACAAACCTACTCACATTCACTTTCTATTTCATGTCATCCACTGCTCAGAAGCTCCAGGACAGGGTCACCTAGCAACAGCACTCATTATTGCCATGTCAACCATCTTCATCATGGCCATCGCCATCGTTCTCATCATAATGTTTTACATCCTGAAGGCCAAGCCGAACAGCCAAGGTGAGGCCCACTCAAACACACACAGACTATCACATTAAAGGCTGGATTTGCTAATTCTTACAAAGTTTTGTGTGCTTGTGTTTTTTTCTGCAGCGTGTTGCTCTGGGCAAGTCGTGAAAGCAGTGGAGGCTCAGACTAACAAACACGAAGACAAAAAAGAGATCCCTGGTGAGCCAGACTCCACAAACAGACCCATGAATGAATGACAGACTCTGTTTTCAGGGTCTTTCCTGTTCTTTTCATGTCATGATCACAAATCTGTAATATTAAAAGTTTGTCTCCATGCATGGTGGTATTGTGGTAAAACCTCATCCTGCTTTTGATTCGACTCTGTCTAGTTTACATGTAACACAATCTTGTTATAGATTTGTGTACATGACTTTAACCCCACACACATTTCTGGATGCAAACTCAGGCCCATTTTCAACTTTGCACGTTCTCTTCCTGCCTTCCCCAAATCTGCATGACACGTTTGAGTCAGGTTTCTGAAAATCAGTTGCAGTAACTGAAAACAATTTTGTCCTTGTGTCTGAATACAAAGTTACCATTCCTGTTTTTTATTTATTTATTTTTTGCATTTGGGAAAAAATGTTTAGACTCTTCACTTAGAGTGTTTATGAGCATCATTATTATTTTTTTTTGGCATTAATTTCTGTTGCAGGCTGCAACTTTATGTATAATTTTAGTTTTTGTGGCTCAAAGAAGGCCTGACAGAAAAATAAGTTGAAACTTCTACTATTCTCCTATTAGCAATAAATTATATTCATTTTTAGCATTTTTATCCATGAAAAGATATAAATATTTGCTAAAATAGTAAAATGCTATGTGTTACTATACAAAAATGAACATTTATATCTTTATTTTTTTAGATAATGGTGAAATTACATCAACAATAATTAAAAGTACAGGTAAAATGACAGTACTTTTTTGTTAAGCTTTTGGAGATTGTATCCTTAGAGGGGACAATGTTGTGCATCCTTGTTTACTGCCCTGTGCATCTCTACTGCCCCTAAGAACACTCCAAGTGTTAAAAAACAAAACAAAAAAAAACATCTATTTGTTTTCTAAAGTGTTTGGTTTTAGGATTTATGTGTCTAAAAGGAGCCATTTTGAAAAGTCCCCGTTTGTGACATCACTAATGGAAAAAGTAGAGTAGATCCTCCTCTCACACACAAGAGAGAGCAGCTGCTAGAGTAGTAGTGGCTCTACTTCAAGCTCTTCTTTGATATGGGAGCTTCTTAGCTTATAGCAACCTGAGCAGATAAGGGGTGGGCGTGGCCATCTCCAGCTTGTTTTTCCATCAACCCTAGAACTATTAAATGAGTCGTAATAAGAATCGGTAAGTATTATAACAGTTTTGAATCAATAAGCTGATCATTTAAAATTAATTCCTTCATAAAGACTCACTAACTATGAAGATGCGGTTTAAAGCAATGAAGACTGTTTCTGTGCCGAACACCCTTTTGTTTTTGTGCTTTAATTATCTCCAATCAGCAAAAATAAACAGGACAACAGTCATGAACTGGTCATTAAAGTGTCTCCAGTAACTCCTCACACATGTTACTCTGTAAACTAAATACACACACGGGATCTGATGCAGCTTAAAACTGGATCTGAGGGCAAGTCAAACCAAAAAAAAGTACTACAAACACACAAAAACTAAACAGTAACAAGACACTCAACTCCATGCTTTAATGGCCAAAAAATACTCAGTAAAGCAAAGTTTAAACAGAAATCACCATGCAGTCTTTAATTATCACTAATTCTTACTTTAGTAGAGATGTGTTGATTAGGAGAAACAGTGTGAGCGCTGAGGGGTACGATACCGATCAAAGTTAGAGAATAGTTATCGCCTGATCAGCTCTGACTGAATCTCATCAAAATATTAATACAGGATCGACTTTGAATGTTTATGAATGTGCAAATTGGTGGTTTGTAGAATAATATATGTATATTAATGTGCATTGTAAAGTGTGTGTGTGTGTGTGTGTGTGTGTGTGTGTGTGTGTGTGTGTGTGTGTGTACACTGTATTCTAACAGACATGCAAAGTGATGAGTGTATCGTGATGGAATGTGAAGTTTCCAAAGCTGAAGCCATATGTTGCTTTAGGCGCCAATTCTCTTCACAATGATGCTCTGTTCAATTTCACTCCCAGACTGACTGACTAACAACTTGCATGTGGTGTGAATGAGAAAAAACACATATGGGCACTAACTAATGTAGACACACACATAACTTGAAAAACCGACCTGGTGAATATTAAATATACATATTTGGTCGTTCCTTAGACTTATGTTGTCTTACGTGAAGGAAAATGTGTGTGTAGGTGAGGGTGTGTGTGGGTGTGGTTGTGGGAGGGTGGGTGGGTGGGTGGGTGGGTGTGAGTGCACTTTGGATGACTGGTGTGGGAGAGAAGCCCATTGCTTGGAGCTCTACCGGAGCTTGCTGCCACTCACGTAGACACCGACATAATAAGGCTCTAAGATGAAAGACATAGACGCTTTAACTCTGTCACACACACACACACACACTCGTCTTAGAAATGCGATCATTAGGCTGTCTATCCCTGTCTGTAGCCATGATGACAGTCTAATTTCACATCATGCTCACAATAATTGTTTTATCCGTTAATCCAATGTGACGCTGAAACTTCAAAAGATTCCAGATTGTTTTCTACCAAATCATCCTAATTCAAGATCTGTTCTTCAGTTTTAAGATGTGAAAGTTACTCAGTGTCCATTTTTGAGTGAGATATAGTGAAAATGTGAGACTTTAGTGTTGAAGTTTATCTGTATCAAAATAATGCACCATGTTTATTTTTGGATTGTCTTGTTTTGATTAACACTTAAAGAAAGGTACAATTTGATGTTTACAGTTTCACACTGTTTAGATCTTTATTTGTGTCTCTTTGCCTTTTTCTTGCATTACAAATTAAAAATGTTCTGTCTTACAGAAAGTGCGGTCATCTTCTCCGAAAAAGAAGAGTATGATAAACTGAAAGCTCCTCCTCAGAAGGTGGTGAAAAGGTGAGAGATTTAAGCTCTACATCTGTGTTCCTGACTGATAGAAGTGAATAAATGTTTCTCTGAAGGAACGACACGACAGGGTAAAAATCACACAAGCAAGAAAACCAGCAAATACCAGACCCATGTTAGCAAACGGTTGAGCTGGTGGGATAGGATTCTTCCTGATATCCTTAGCTCAGTTCACACTGCAGGATCCCCTTTCTGATGGTCTTAAGGATGTGGATGATTATCGTAAAGGCTTTAAAGATAATCTTATCAGATAATCTTACCTTTTGTGGTGTGTTAGTGCTCTGGTCTGTTCATAACGACATCAGGACTGCTTGGATCATAAATCTGGGCTTTCAAACATGTTGGATTGTCTCCGTCTACTTTTTGGCGACAAAAGAATGTGCAATCTGTTCAGTATGATGTATTAATCAGAAAGCAAGGTGACAAAGGTGTGCAACATGCTAAAACTCTGCCATGTTTGTTTACTTTGAAGTTATTTTGTAAGATTTCCTGTCCAAGTGAAGGGTGTCCTTGAATGAAGGTGGTCTGTTTGTAGTGTGCAGTATTTTCAGAGTTGCCGTCCACCACACACTCCGGATCGAAACTGGTACATCCATGTTTTTTATCACCATGCGTGGTCTAATGGTTTGAAAATCAATTTAAACATTCTTCCATGTAAACCAGGCTTTAGTTTTGACCGCATTCAGGGATAGTTTGTTGTCATGGCACCAACTCATTAGCTGTCTGACCTGTTGTATTCAAATTGCTTCTTGTCAATGAACTCCACCATGCCATGTCACCTCCATACATGATGTGATCTATGCTAAACTGAGTGATAAGGATGTGTGTCATAAGAATGAACAGCAGTGGACTGAGCACACATCCCTGTGGGATACCTCTGCTCAGGCTGGTGATCCTGGAGGATTTGCTACTTATACTAACATAGTAGAGAGTGTTTGGTGGAAAATGTAGGATCCAGTTGCAGAGGAGATTGTTCATGCCCCATCAACCCAGCTTACCAATCAATTTCTGTGGCTCTGTCTATACTGTACAGGTTATAAAGTTCAGTGCTTACACACACCGCTTCTGAGCATTGTGTTTGAATCCTAGGTCACAAAGATTCAACACGACATATTCCTTCATAATTTACCCACAATCTTCTCATAATTAAAGCACCACAGAACAAGCCATTGCAGTAGTTGTTTTGTTGCCTTGGGCTCTATTTTGTGAATCCCGTATGTATGCACTGTGTGTGAGAGGTTGAATAAGATCAGTTGACTTTTTTTAATTAAGTAATAAAGCATTTAGCCCATTATGTGGCTTTGGAATAGGCAGAGAGGTGGGTTTGGATGGGCTTTGAGGCAACCCATTTTAGCCCTGAAGCCTAAACATGCTGAGAGTAGGACAGTGCGGGTAGTTGTCAGAGAGGATGGGGGTATTTATTCCAAGCTTCACATAAAACGCACCACCAAGTGAAAGCATGTTCTAGCAGACAACAAAAGAAAGATGGTTTGCTCACCTTTCCCTCATCATACTCCTCATCCCTCATAGGAGGACAATGGTGCATTATAGCTGCTTGTCAATGTGTGCAGAGGGAAGTGTAACTCTTGAAAATGTAGTGCTACACATAAACATACATACAGACATGTCTAAATGTTATGGTACTTGTAGCATGCATGCTTTAATTGCTACAGTTGTTCAAACAATGAAAGGGGTGTAAATCAAGAAAAACGATTTGATGAGACATGCGCACGCGCGCGCGCGCACACACACACACACACACACACACACACACACACACACACACACACACACACACACACACACACACACACACACACACACACTCCTGGCATCAATAACAGTCAAAAGTGCAGTAATGCAGCATGCCAAAGGATGTACTAACTCACTGTACTAGTTGCCAGAGTGGGTGTTAGATGTCTGGGGGAACAATGGCATTTTGTGTGTAGGTTTGTGTTTTGGAAAAGAGTGTGTAACATAGAAAAACTTGTATTCAGTTTGAATCTCTGTCAACAAGGAGCTTTTTGCAAGAAAATCCAAAGCAGGCGGCGACATCGGTGATACAATTCTTCTACAGAATATCATGTTGTAAAATACAGGATTGTTTTCTTTCTGTCAAAGAAACAGTTAAGAAACATCATCAGACATGGCAACAAAACTGCATTCTTTTCCACACGATTTATTCGTTTTTGGAAACTGACTAATATTCTAGCCTGGCAAGCCATCCTATGTCCTAACCCTTCAAACGGTCTCTGCACACAACTGGACAGTGCTAGGACCAATCAGAGCAATGAACAATGTGACATATTCATTGCTACAGAAAATCAACAAGACAGTTCCCCATACACTGTTAAAGTAAAAGGGCCTCTATCTTCTCGTCCCAAAAGCAGTTTTTACAGGACCATAGCGTTTGCAAAACGGGATTTGCCGCGGCTCCCTGGGGAGGATAAAGGTCGTTAATAAGATCAGACCGTGGCGGTAATGTGACGCAATCGTGGCAGTTTTATAAAAGATTAGGTGATGGCGTCATAAAGGGGGTATGGGGGCGGTCTTTTGTCGTTTTGCTCCTTTGCAGCTCTGCAATGAAGCTCTGCCGTAATGATGCTAAGCCCACCCACCGACTCTCTACAAACATATGGCACTTACACACTAGCATCGGCTCTACTCCTTCTGGACTGGGCTTAGAGTGTTCTCATTTGGGTAACCTTGGATTTTCCCGCACACAACCAGATGTCTTTTCAGCCATCTTCCTGAGGTGGTCTGCCTGGAGCCAAACTGGTTCAACACACCCACTGCTGACTGATTGGCTGGCTCAAATTCATGCCTACCATTATGGAAGCATCCGATTGGCTGATAGAATCAGCCTGCAGGGGCTTCCCATATGCATGATTCATTATCATTCTGGATGCTGTTGAGTTAACAAGCCTCTGACCGAAGCCGTTTTTCTCTGTCTCTCACTGCTGCGAGGAGGCACACACACACACACACACACACACACACACACACACACACACACACACACACACACACACACACACACACACACACACACACACACACACACACAAGCCCTTTTCAGACTGACATTCTGGAACATTTGTGGACAATTCAATCCGGTTTTTAACCGGAACTGTGTTTTCAGACACACCACTTTTGTACCGGAACTTGTCCTTTCGGCTGCGTTCACACAGCAGGGAAAAGTTCCAGATGTCTGACGGCGGCGGGGGGGGGGGGGTGGTGGGGGGAGAGAGAATCGGACTCATGTTAAGAAGAAGAAGAAGAAGAAAATATAATTTCTATAGCGCCTCTCAAGATAAAAATCACGAGGCGCTTAAGCATAATTCTGCGCACACGAAGACGCATAAGAGACCTGGATGATGAAGCTCAATGGTTAAAGGAATCACTGAAGCGGTGTGAAGCGCTCCGTCGCGCGTCTAGACGGTACCGTAGGAGGCGAGCTGCCGTGGTTCGCCGCATGCTACAGCAGCGGGCTATATAGGTGCGCACATCGTCCCCCGGTCCCCTCCTCCTCCCCCTCCCTCTTGTCCGGAACTTTACCTCACCAGTCTGAAGCAGCCACCCTGTCCGTGACAAGTCCGGACCTGTTACTAGGGGCTTCGTCCGGATAAATTCCGAAACACGTTATCCGGATGTTTGTATTCAGACAGAAAGGTCTTACGGACGGATTCCGGAACATTTCCGTTTTTCATGGCCTGTCTGAAGGGGGCTACAGAGTGCTGCCAGACACAGCAAAGCATTCCTAAGGCAGTGTGGAAGTGGGCTTAGGCGGGCGACACGGAGTGGACTCAACACTAGTGTGTAAGTGGCAAAAGAGTGCCGTGATTGGTCTGACATTAACGTAGCTGAGCCAATAGTAAACCTGCCGAGGCTACAAGGGAGCATGGCTACACCAACCAGCAGAGCAAAGTAGTTTGCTACTGCCACGGTTTTTCTAGATATCTAGGCTCTGGTTCTTCCGGCTCTTGGAGAGTACAGACGCTTTTTTCCTCCACTCCTCCCTATCTTATCCCAAGGCTCTTTGTCTGTCTCTGGGTGTATGGCTGCTTCTGCATTTTTTTCTGGAAACTGGAAACTGAAATTACTAAAATGGACCAGGTCAGTTGGTCACTTAACGCGACTGACAAAATTTTTTCAATGATGAGAACGGGGAAGGGGTGCCCCTCTGGGACAGATCCCTCTGGGCATATCATGGACTCCTGGAAACAGTGGAACCTGATTTGCCTATCTCAGCTGTCTGTAGAGGATTCTGAAGACGTGTGGATATTCGTGGTGTTGGTGTCAGGTTTCCTGCTCTTTGACCTAGGTGGCTTCCTGGCTTACCAGAAAATTAACGAGCTGTTGAGGAATATTGGCGCTCTCCCCGAGCTCAGGGATGGATTACACCGCGCTGTGAATTCACAGGCTCATATAATTGTCGAGATGAGTCGTAAGCTCGTTGGCACAAAAGATGGATGCCATCAAGGAGCAAGTGGACGAATCAGCATGGATTAGGATAGATTAATTTACATCATTATTGGGATATTGAGAGGTTGAGGACCAACATAACTTTAAGACAGAGGGGAAATTATCTCTGTCTGGCCCCAAAACAATATCTAATCTGAATCTGGTGCCCTTGAGCCTGTGAGGCTGCAAAGAATACTCCCCCTCAGAAGAAATGTAGAATGCTGCCGTTGCTATGGCAACTCTGTCTCCCTATCCCAGCCTGGGCGGGACTGCGGGCTGTGAAGGCCGCTGAATCGTTCCAGGAGTCACTGTGCCCTCCAAACCCCAACAACTTCCTCCCCCTGTCCAGACTGAGGTGACGTGCGCTGCTTATCGTGGCTGCAGGCACTGACGTGTGGAGAGTCCCAAACCCACCACCCCACCTAGTGGACACTTATGTTGTGTGATGCCAGAAGTCTGTTGCATTTCTGTCTGAGGTGTTTTTATGCATAGCAAAGCTGCCCTTCCTGTGGAGGGTAACTCTGAAGAGCCTTTTTTTCCCCTCCACCTGAGCCAATCCTCATGTAACCCTCTATTAAGGTAGCGCGACTCAGGGTTGCAAATGACCACGGTCACCTATTCTTGTCATGTGTCTTTGCCTATGTATGTCTGATCTATGAATTGTGTGTACTGAAACTCTAATTTCCCTCTGGGATTAATAAAGTATCTTTGAATTTGAATTTGAATTGAATAATACCCTACATCATGTCCCAAAATCAATGACCTCGGTTGTTAGTTTGTACAAAAAAATGTCTATATCAGCTGCCACCATTTCCAGAATTGTTTATGGTGGATGTTAAATCACATAGTTCCATGCCAATTAGGACACTACTAGTACCAAATATATTTGCTATTAGGAATCAATAATCTTTAAACAAACTTCTAATACATTATTCTAAGTGCACATGTGAATATGTATTTGTGTCTTCTGTGCAGTGAAAATGACGCATCATCAGAGAACGAGCAGCTGCTGAGCCGCAGCATTGACAGCGACGAGGAGCAGACATCAGAAAAGCAGGGATCTGCAGAAACAACAACCCCCAGTCCAAACCTGTGCCTCGTCGATCTCGGAAACAAACCTGACCTCTCCCTGCTCACTCTGGGACTTTTGGGTCGCGGTCGCACAGGCAACGGCACCCCAGCTGTAGCAACCAGCCACCCCAATAACATCCCAAATCCCAACCACATCAACGGTGTCAACCACATCACTTCCAACAACCACATCAGCAGTGTGAATGGGATCAACAACAATAAAACCCCAGGGGTAGGAAGTTGGAAGTTTTTGCACTGAAATTAGAAAATGATCACAAACAGATTCACAATTCAGGATCAGTTCAAAAACTTATGAATCTGTATTTGTTTCTTTAGATGCTACAGAATCGAAGGAAAAAGATCATTGATTTGTACGCTAAAGCCTGCAACATGACTGAGGGTAAGTTTGATAAACAGGAATTACACATACCCACCAAACCTTGTAATGAAGATCTGCATATAGTTAGTAAAATGTGCAATGTACACTCACTGGCCACCTTGTTGGGTGCACCTGTCCAACTGTTCTTTAATGCTAATTTCTAATCAGCCAATCACATGGTGGCAACTCCATGCATTTAGGCATGTTGACATGGACAAGTTGATGCGCTGCAGTTCAAACCGAGCTTCAGAATGGGGAAGAAAAATGATTTCAGTGACTTTGAATGTAGCATGGTTGTTGGTGACAGACGGGCTGGTCTGAGTTTTTCAGAAACTGCTGATCTTTTGGGATTGTCACGCACAACCATCTCTAGGGTTTACAGAGAAATGGTCAGAAAAAGAGAGAACATGCAGTGAGCGGCTGTTCTGTGGGTGAAAATGCCTTGCTGATGCCAGAGGTCAGAGGAGAATGGCCAAACTGGTTCGAGCTGATAGAAAGGCAACAGTAACTCAAATAACCATTCATTACAACCAAGGTATGCTGAAGAGCATCTCTGAATGCACAACACGTTGAACCTTGAGGCTGATGGGCTACAGCAGCAGAAGACCACACAAGGTTCCACTCCTGTCAGCTAAGAACAAGAAACTGAGGCAATGGTTCAGGTTGGTGGTGGTAGTGTAATGATGCGGGGGACATTGTCTTAGCCAGGGTATCCGCGGGTCCTTAAAAAGTCTTAAATTGGCTTTTCCAAATTTAAGGCCTTAAAAATCCTTAAAAATGACAAATAATCCTTAAATAGTTTCCAAAGGTCTTAAATGACCAAAGACCCAATGAACAAGATTCTTTTATTTCTATACAATTTTCGTGAATTTCTAGTTAGTGTTCAGCATTTTTTGTGTATGATATTGGGGTAAGTGGAGTCGTACACATGCAGTTGGTTGTGAAAAGGGGCTATTTTTAGATGAGCACATTAGCTGGTTAAGCTAGTGGGAGCTTGCGCCATGGGGAAGTGCAAGTTTAATGGTAACGGGATGGCTAATCCCACATTCGCGACGTGGTTAGCACAGTTTCCAGGCAATAGCTGGAAATTATAGCTTAAATTTAATTTTAAAAATAGCTTAAATTTGGTCAAAGTGGCCTTAAAAAGGTCTTAAAAAGTCTTAAATTTGGCTCCCTTAAACCTGCAGATACCCTGCTTAGCACACTTTGGGCCCCTTAGTACTAATTAATCATTGTTGCAACACCACAGCTTACGAGTCTTGTTGCTGACCATGTCCATCCCTTTATGACCATAGCGTACCCATCTTCTGATTGCTACTTCCAGCAGGACGATGTGCCATGTCTCGAATCATCTCAGACTGGTTTCTTGAACATGACAATGAGTTCACTTTACTCAAATGGCCTCCATGGTCTCCAGATCTCAATCTAAAAGAGCCATCATGTCAATATAGACCAAAATATCTGAGGAATGTTCCAGTACCTTGTTTAATCTATGCCACAAAGGATTAAGGCAGTTCTGAAAGAAAAAGGGGGTCCAACTCGGTACCAGCAAGGTGTATCCAATAAAGTGGCCAGTGAGCTCATATTCTGTAACTCTTTAGGTAATATGTTGACAAAAGCTATCAAGTCCTAAAATTGTGGACTCTCTGCAACATCTCCAGGCCTGAGTCCCACAGAACTTCCCTTTGACTGCTTGGAGAAGGCGAGCCGCATGCTGAGCTCCTCCTACAGCAGTGAAGCAGCCGTGGTGAAGACATGGAGGCACCTGGCTGAAAGTTTCGGGCTGAAGCGTGATGAGATTGGGGGCATGAGCGACGGCCTTCAGCTCTTTGAGAGAGTCAGCACAGCCGGCTACAGCATCCCCGACCTCCTCACTCGCCTGGTGCAGATCGAGAGGCTGGACGCCGTGGAGTCGCTCTGCTTCGACGTGCTGGGGAGCAGCGAGGTCGCGGCGGTGGCTGGCCGGCAGGGTATCAACAGTTTTCACAGCCAGTTAGTTTGCCCTTCGTCCTGCACATCTCCATCCCAACGCTGCGCCAGTGTCTGAAAACCAGGAGCATAGACTCGAGAGGCTTGGAGGTCTTCCAGTGCACGTTTCTGTAAGGACAGATTTACTCTGACAAGCATGACTGTGCACATGGAGTGTACACATTACATGAAGAATGTCAGTGGGCTTTCTGCCCACAATCTTTATTTTCTAAAAGTCTTAAAGAGCTTTAAATTACTCATTTTTCTATGTTCTAGTGTTGGATTTAAAATAATAAATCCGAGTCAGGCATGTTCTAAATTTAAAAAATAATGTCCAACTGTTTTAATCTGATGTTGCCTTCCGTTATTGCCAGAGAACCGTTGTGCGCCGGGCGCTCTAATTAATGTTCTTTTTCAGATTTTTAAAAAAAGAAATCCCGTACTCAGCCTTTGCTGCACGATTTTGGTGGGCCCCATCCAGCACGGGCTCTCAGCAGGACTCTTATTGAACTTTTGAAGTGGGACTCAAACCTCTTGCAGCTGATGAAACCAGACGCTCACGTTTGTACAAAGAAAGCAACCTGGTTCGACTGTGGCATTAGTTAGCATTCAGAACGGTTTCTTTGACTGGGCTGTCACCAGCAGAAATGAGCTCTCCACTTTGATTGCAATCGTCACGGCAGCTGGAAACACTAAAACATCGTTCAGCTACGCTTTCATCTAAGAAACTTTCTTGTGAACTCTGGACTTCTGTCAGATGACCAGAAAACACTCGCAAATGGACAAAAAATAATTCCAATATTGTCATTTTTAAGGCAGAACAAGAATGATAAATGTTGGGGTTTACTATGCAATCTTTAAAACAACAACATGGGTGTGCCGTTTTATTTATTCATTTTTTTAAATAAAAATGATGACAAAGACAAACAGTTCAACTATGTACCCCAGAAAAACATCAACTTAAAGAAAGAGCCCCAAAACACAGATTTGTTTTATATAGTATGGTTAGCATTCAACTATTTAATCCATATAATGTATGAACACAGTGTCGTGCACCACATGCCCTCGGTGCACTTTTTACACTCAGATTCACACACACTCCTACTAAAGCTACTTCCTCAGCAGTGACCCCCCTCCCTTCTCATAACTCTGCCTAGCTCCCCTTATACTCCAATCTTGTGGTCTTGTGCTGCCGCCATCCCTAATTATTTGGCGTGTGGCTCATGCCCCTAATAAGTCGAAGTGTTGTGGTTTACAGAGCGGGTGCAAAGTGCCTGTGATTTCCAGCACCCAATTAAGCATTTAGGGCCACTTAACTTAAGACTGGTAGAAAAATCCATATCACCCCTGCATTAAAAAAACAAGATTGATGCCAGGGTATTTGGACCACTAGCTCACAGGCTCCTGCTTTTGTGAAAGGTGAGCAAGTGGTTCCTGTTATGGTGGAGGTATTGCTGCACTGACCTGTAAAACGTCTGTTCTTTTTCAGCGTTTGTGGTCGGCTCACTCGTGCTCAGAAAGGATTTCAGCCCCCCCCCCCCACCCCTATGGGACCAATTGACTAAACAAGAACAATGTGCAGCTGTGTGAGAAGCAGCTGAGGCCACTTAGGTGTTGTAAGCTCAGAACGTGTCCCTCTCATAGGCATCGGGGTCAATGATACAAGAATCAGCAGCAACATTGATGCTACAGGTCAAGTCTGCTCATTTCTGCGGCGATTATCCGACTCAGCAAAACTAAAAGAGTTGCTTTGATGTCCCTTCCTGGTAACAGGACTGATTTTAATCTGATGTTGCCTTCATAATGTCCCGGGTCTGCTCTGCAGATACGATTTTCCTTCCCGACAATTTTCTCTTCTGTGGAGATCCAATCTCTCGTTGCAATCTGGAGCTGGACTCCTGTACTACTTCAAGAACATATCTATTATGTTGTGTCTTTGATTTAAACCTCCAATTTAGATGTGTTTTCCTGTCAGAATGTCAACAATTGATTTATAGTGTGAAGCTGATGTTTTTTATACTTTAAATACGTTTTATATATATATATATATATAGAAATATTTTTTGTTGGAAATACATGAAAGGAAATAGAAAATGCTCCTAAACTATGCTCAGTTTTGTCAGACATGTATTATGCTGATATGACAATACACAGATTTACTTACCTCAGTAGCACAAACAATATAAAACAACATGTAGAAACACTCCGACTTATCGCAGAACCCAAGTGTAAATGTATATATAAGTTATTATTGTACATAAAACATATCTTAATAAAGATGTATGGTGAAAATTACCGTGTTTGCTTAATATGAAGAATGGAAAAGCTGAGTGACGGTACTAAAAATGCTCAAGTGTGTGTGTTACCAAAATATCATCAAAAGGATGTGAGTGGTATTCCCAGAAAGTGGTCATCAAATGTCCATCTATGAGAGATTTACCTTTAGAGTCAACACACTTAAAGATGGCTGCTTCATGTAATCGATCTTAGCACACACATAAATACAACTCCATCAGTTTTGCAGATTGTGGGCTAAATTTCCACACAGCTGTAGCTGAGAGTCATCCACAACACGTACTCTGAGTGCTAACAGAATGCATGAATCCATACGTTGTGCTCTTTTTAAGATTTGTCCTTTAAGCCATCATTTCTCAGCATAAGAGGATCGTGGTTTGCCATTCAGATATGAAAAATGACAAGTGACACGCATTTCGTCAAAGAATGTGAGCTCTTTAATGTGAGATGTGATTTTCTTGACATGAAGCAGCAGATAATCTGCAACATATGTCTACTTTTGCTGCAAATAGACTTTTTATTAACTTGTTTTGTACGATTTGTGCTCGCATGCCTTGAGCTAAAAAGCATTAAATAAGAGGGCAATAAATGTGGCAAATTAGTCGAAGAAAAAATGAGTTTTAAAGTCAAATTGTAAAAAGATTTGAAAAGAGAGCTTCTGTTATTCATTAATCTTTACTCCCATATGCATTTTCTTCCTTTCCAATGGCGTGCCACTGAAAGTCGTGACTTCAGACAACCTCTTCTTGCACTCATACAAGCCAAACACCTCCATTATTTGTTGCTACTAATTGGCAGCATGTTGTTATAAACATCTAATTGAACCTCAGATCCAACAAAAGCTCCAAAAATGTCTCGTGCACCAACATATCTTTCTTCTAAACATTCATTTGTGGTGTGTTCCTGCAGTGGCAGATGCCATCTCAGGATGCCTCTCCGTCATCCAGTCTTTGCTCTGCGTGGGTGTGTAGTTGTGCCAGATTACCACAGGCCCAGTTGAACAATGAAGTGTGAATCTTTGGCTGATGATCTTAAGATTTCAGTAGAAAAGGTCTGGCTGGTAATGGAGACATTCGATGATGCTCGGGGTGTTGAGGTCCATCATCATGTTTCAAATTGCCAACTAATAGACCTTCCTCTTTGAAACGAGTGTCCCTGCCAGCATTCACACCCACACACATTATGCACAGATGCACGTGTCTTCAGGGCCTCTTTCTGGTTCGGTAAAGACTCACGCATGGTTTTCTTTACTCCGATGAGGATAAAGTCAGACATTGAGTGCCAATGGGAAATCTTTGCCAGTCAGAACCACTTTTTAGCCACAACGCGTTCTTGTACCCACATCAAAGTGTCTGCAGTGTCTTCACCTCAGCCCAAGGGATGAAAGAGTCAGGTGTGCAAGATGAGGTTTGCTGAGATCTTTTGTCTCGCGGCTTTTTAGATGGTCAAAACGCACCACAACGGTGCAACTACAGAAACGGCATCAAGTGGAAGATCGTCTTACTTGTTTCTGACCGAAAACGAAAACAGCATGAAGGCGTTGGGGGTCCTGCAACAACATCTAAGCTGTGGAACAGGAAGTGCTACAGACTGGAAAAGATGAACCGCCTATTTTTAGCGTGTTCATTCTGCTGTAAAAAAGTTACATTAATATGAAAGACTAGAAATAAACCAACAACCGCATCACAGGATGAGTACAAATTAAAAAATATTTAAATTGAAATTTAAGGTTCAAAAGGGTGCACTCTAAGTAGGATAAAATCAAGACTGACACTGTAGCTTATTTTTAAAACTACAAACCAGAAACATAGAAAAAAGTAGTTAAAATAAACTTGAAGAAGGAAACTAGTGTGATCCCAGCAACCTCGCCACCCTATAAAAGCCTGACAGCTGGTTTCACTCAGCTCCATCATACAATTGCTAACACAGCTATTTGACCAGAGCCTCTACATGCTTATTGCATTACTCAAGCAGAGTATTTGTGCATATTGTGGCTGGTGAAAATAATATACATTTAGTGGTTTGCCACATGGAATTGCTGATTGACCTGACTTTAAGCTTTGTCTTAACGGGAACCCTCATTCTGCTTGCGCCCACCTACCTTTTGACATTTTAATACCGTTTACTGGCCAGAGTAGAGCGAGGCAACTCTTTAGGGTAATTTTCTGAATATTTGGTCAACTTAAAGAACCTAAACCTAATTAGGCTCAGCTTATTATGGTCTGCGGTGTTGGCGGTGCTGTCCGGAGTAGGTTGGCAGAGTTACACCATTTATGAGCCACATACCAAACACCTTGACTGCAGTCTGCACAAAACCCACGCCAGGAAAGTAAATAAATCAGCTGTTGTCATTTCCTGTAGTTACCTAGACCTCATTAAAATGATAGACAGGTTAGGTTTGTAGACCGACTGTTTATGTACACATTTGATTCCCAAGTTAGAAGCACCGTATTGTTAATTGCCCTTCTTTTTCCTTGAAAGCTTCAGTTGGTCTATAATTGCACTCTGCTTCTGCATTTCTGCTTTGTTTTTGTTAAACACCATGTGATGAATGAAATACGTCGTGTGTCGTTTGAGGATGTATGTACATCAAATTTTTTAATATGATTTCATTTGTTTGGCTCTGGAAAACTTCTTAAAGGGGACATTTTCTAACTCATAAATTCTACTGAAAAAGATGGTAAACGGCCTGTGTTTTTATAGCACCTTCTTAGGGCTCTACAACCTCCCAAGGCACTTCATAACACAATCAGTGTTCATTCACACGCTGGTGATAAGCTACATTTAAACCACAGCTGCCCTGGGGCGCACTGACAGAGGCGAGGCCTGCCGTACACTGGCACACCAGACTGATTCCTCCAACCACCACCACCAGCAGGCAAGGTGGGTTAAGTGTCGTGCCCAAGGACACAAAAGTAGCAAATCTCTGGCAGGAGCCGGGATCGAACCTGCAACCTTCTAATTACTGGACAACCCGCTCTACCTTCAAAGCTACTGCTGCCCAAGATCATGATCAAGATCATGAAGTTCTTTGCACTAACGCCATCACATAAGACGATTTCAGCAGGTTTACTTTCCAGAATGAGCCATTCCAGAGCTCTGTCAGTTTAATTAAACAAGTTAGAGCCGGCCATGGCCACCCATCCCCCACTCAGGCTGCTATAAGCTGAGAAGCTCTGATGTCCGGGAGGTACTAGGAGTAGAGCCGCTGCTCCTCTTGCAGCAGCGGCTTTCTTTTGCATGTGAGAAGTGGTTCTATTCAATCGTTCCCATTTGTGACATCACAAGTGGGGACTTTTTAAAACTGCTTGTTTTAGGCACATAATTCCTAAAACTAAACACTAACAGTAAAGTGGGTGGGTGGATTTCTTTCATGTTTGGGGTGTTTAAAGAGGCAGGAGAGACCCACATGGCAGCACAAAAGAATGCAAAAGGTGGGATTTGCTAAACGTGTCCCCTTTAATATTTTTCTTAACCTTCGAGGACTTTGGCAGCCTGACTAGACACAGAAAGTGCTGTTCGGGAGGCACCAAAGATCTAAAAATTGAAGAACTTATAAAACTTTTAAAAAAGAGGCTTTGTAACAGCTCTGTAACATACTTAAGTGATCCTTCCATGCACAGCATTGCTTTGTGAGATCATCATGAAATACTACAGACAGTTGGCTGCACATCTCAGCAACTGTCAGGTGGAGGTAACAAGAGAACAGAAGTGATTTAGATTTATATACTCATTATGAGTGTTTGCTTTGTTCCCATATACTGTGTAATTTATTGTAAAGGCTATAATAAAATTTGATATTTTGTTTTGAAATAATCCAGTTGCCTTCTAAAAACTCACATTTGACATCCTGCTGGAAAAGCCTCCATTTGTTTTATAATTAAATCACCTCTGCCAGCATTTCGTTTACAGCGGATGAAGCAGCAAATCAAACGGGGCACAATTTTAAAAAGAATGATTGGGATGGACAAAGGATTCTTCTTTCATTTTCTTCTGAGTCAAAATGAAAATAATATTCCTTATTTACAACATCAAAGGTTTTTCAGAGCAAGAATAAAAATCCCAGCCTGTCGGAATAGAAGCAGAAACTATCAGCATCACTCCACATGTTTCTCTGCCCCCATAAGAGAAGAGACAATAAACCAAAGTAAATTGGGGCAACATTATTCCATATCATTAAAACGGCTTATTGGTTTAAACAAGAAACAGCTAAATCCAGAGTCTTATTGGCTGCCAGATCAAAAGAGGAAAAATCTTTCTCAAAGCCCTCCTAATAAAGAAAATGTAATATGGTGATTCACTTAAAAAGGATATATTATAATATAATCTAAAAAAAATACATCAAGATCTTATTTTCTTCCCAAGAAACCTTTATTTGAATATGCAAACTGTTTCCAAGAGTCTGTCAACGCTTAAGAAACCTATTGAAAGAAATATTCAAAGTACGATTTATGTGCTTTGGCTGCATTTTCAGCTTTAATTATTTCATCTTCTGTACGTTCATTCTGTGCATTTTGTCAGTTAGCATTGCTTGGTTCTTTTTAACCCTCCCACTGTCCTAATGGGTGTGACCCCGTGAGGAAAGCTTACCATTGAGCAGGGTTGATGGTTTATCCCTTGGGTCCATGTGGCAGGGGTGAGGAGTGAGCACCACCTCACCCCCGCCACGTGGACCTCAAGGTAAAAACCATCAATCCTGCTCAATGGTCAACTTTCCTCGTTATTGTGATCTCTGTTCATGGTGAGGTTGCTCCTGCTGACTTGAGCCAACCATTTTCTTCTTCTTTCTGCGTCTTTGGGGAAGCCATAATTCTGATTCCTCCCTCAGACCAATTGCTATATGCAGCGCAGCCAACAAGATAATCAACCTATAAAGGTATTATTAAAATACTTTTTTTGTACATATAGAAATATTGAACAAAACTAAAAATATAGAGATGTAAAATTACATTTTAAAATTTTATCCAACCCTAAAATTTGTAATTTCAAATTTTAACCCA